ATGATGAATAAGGATGGCTTCCTGGGAGGGGTGACGGTGAACGCTGGGGAAGTGTTCTGCTCGGTGCCGGGCCGCCTGTCCTTGCTGAGCTCCACATCCAAATACAAAGTGACAGTGGGGGAGGTGCAGCGTCGCCTGTCCCCTCCAGAGTGTCTGAACGCCTCTCTGCTGGGAGGGGTGCTGAGGAGGTGAGTCTGGGGGGGCCAGAGGAGGAGAGGGTTAATGCCGCTCACCTTCACATTGGGAATATTGTAGCTGTGACCTACATGGGGAATCCAGCACACTTCCAGTACATAGGAGGAGATCAGTTATATCACCTGCCGGTGAAACCTTAGGCTGGCCATACACATGGGGGTTGATTTACTAAAGGCAAATAGACTGGACACTTTGTAAATTCAATTGCTCCAGAGCTTAGTAAATAAGGTGAAGCTTCACTTTGCAAAGAATACCCAATTACATTCAAATAATATAAAAAGCAGCTTTTTTCTTGTTCATGATTGGCTTATGGAAGTAAGCAGAGCTTCCTCTCACTTACTAAGCTGTGCAGCCAATTCCCTTGCAGAGTGCAACTGCCCTTGCAACGTGCACAGTCTATTTGCCTTTGGTAAATCAACACCAAAGTGAAAATGTTGTGACCAAATCTAGAATTCTAGTCATTCCCCTCTACTATTGCCATTGCTTTTCACTGATTTCTGATTACAGATGAAAGCAGTCTAATGTGGGTAGGGTTGTCCTCTTTTTGGTAGGGTTGTCACCTGGGACTTTTTACTAATATTACTAAAAGGAAAGAGTTGATGAGGTTGATTTGCTAACGGAGTAGAGACCGTTGACTTAGCACTTTGAACGTTCCCTGAGCTTAGTAAATAAGGCGAAGCTTTAACCTCACACATGATTTGGTAAAAAAAGTCAACACAGATTCACCTAATTTAGTAAGCTCAGCGAACATTCAATTTTCTAAGTGAATAGTCTCTACAGCTTTAGTAAATCAGCCCAAATAAGTCCGGTGTTTGTCTTTCAGAAGAGGTGGGAACTTTCAAAAGGGGTGTATGGAACAATCGATTGATTCTGAAATGATCAGGTAGGTGAATTTACCATTTGTGCTCCAGTGAACAATCGTTTCAGACTTCCAATCAATCAATTACCATATTTGGGTCAAATGGTCCACTGTATTAAAAAAAAAAAATTGTTGTATGGCCAGCGCTAGCTACATGTCCAGTCTGTATGTACCGATGCATGATCATACAGGCAAGACAAGCAATGGGTCTTACATCCCAGAAAGGTGGGCTAGTGGGTTATTTTAGCTGCTGGTGATGAAATATCAATTTTGGATGGGGTCGAACTTGTGCTTTTCCATGGTCCATTGTAAATAATAGGAAAGATGGAGCACCCGATGTCCAAGAGAATGCACTTTTGATGGTAGATTAAGAGGCATTTACTGAGAATAACGACAAGTACATCAAACCAATGCGCTTTGGGAGAAAAGACTCTGCCCCTGGAAAGACAGCAGTCATTCTGTCAGTTTCTCCTCACAAACCTGGAAAGTATATAATTGGCATGGGAATATTTCTCATTTAATAGTGTGCAGCAACAGTCCTGAAGAAGGGAGAATCTTTTCTCCTGAAACACGTTGGTTTGATGTTTTTGTCATTATTCTCAATAACGGTCTCTTATTTTACCATCAAAAGTGCATTCTCTTTCCTATTATTCCAAGTGCACGTGTGGAAATGACCTTATAGCCATACCAGAAAGGCAGCAACCAAACCCTAAGAGGGTTTACCGCCAGTATCCACCATTGGGCACAACCGACTGGAGGGACATCTCCCTACCCACCCACACAACCACCCACCTACGACCAGTGACTGATCCAGTCAGTCCAGCGCAGTCTTCAGCACAAAAATGGTCCATTGTGGGAATGCGTGGAGGTTCTGTGCCCATTTAAGCTTCAAAGCAGAAGTCCCAGTATGCCCATGCAGGCTCCGTCTATAATGCTTGAATATTTTTCTGTACAGTAAATATGTAATTAAAGGTACCCAAAGATACCATCACAGAGAGGCATTAGGAGGCAATCAATAATATGCCCTTGACCTCTATATAGCAGTTCTTATATTGAATACCCTCCCATTAAATTTACAGTGACCCCCTCCCCCTGGTCAGTGTATGGTGCCATGTCATACAACCTAAATCTGATTGGTTAGACATAATGGGAGTTGATCCACAGTTATGAATATTCACGTTTATGCCATATCTTCGTTATGAATTTTAAGGTATTATTAAAGTCTTTTCTTATGCAAGTTCCATATGATATGTTGCTGTCACAGATAATCCTAAATGTTGTTTCACTGTGTTCCATTACAGAGCGAAATCAAAAAACGGAGGACGATCTTTAAGAGAGAGATTGGAAAAGATTGGTTTGAATTTACCAGCTGGAAGACGCAAAGCTGCCAATGTCACTTTATTGACCTCCCTGGTGGAAGGTAAGGACACATCTAATAGAAGCCTCCCTGCCAGGATTTAAAGTACTATGAATATTGCACGTGTTTTTTCAATTGCATTCATAAAGTGTTTAGAACCTCCTACTTTTTTAATTTTGTTATTTTGCAGCCTGACACTAAAGTTGTTTCAGTTATTTTTTTCCTCATTAATCTACACTCCCCATAATGGCAAAGGGAAAACAGAATTTTAGAAATGTTTGCAAATTTATGAAAAAGGAAACACTGAAATCTCACATAAGTGTTCAGGCCCTTTGCTACAACACTTGAAATTTAGCTCAGGTGCCTCCCATTTCTCTTGATCATTGCTGAGATGTTTCTACACCTTGATTAGAGTCCAACTGTGATAAATTTAAATTGATTGGACATGATTTGGAAAGATACACACTTCTCTATAAAAGACCTCACAGCTGTCAACGATCTGGGGATGGCTACATTAAATGTTTTGCTGCACCGAAGGTTCCCAAGAGCACAGTGGCCTCCATAATTCTCAAGTGGAAGAAGTTTGGCACAACAAGACTCTTCCAAGAGCTAGTCATCCGACCAAACTGAGCAAGGGCATTAGTAAGGGAGGTGACCAAGAACCTGATGGTCACTGTGACTGAGCTCCAGAGATCCTGTGTGGAGATGGGACAAATTTCCAGAAGGACAACGATCACTGCAGCTCTCCACCGATCTGGGCTTTACAGCAGAATGGCTAGATGGAAGCCTCTCCTCAGTGCAAAACACCTGAAAGACCGCTTGGAGTTTGAAAAATAGCTTAGAGTGAGGAATTAATGGAGTAAGGAATAATAATGTCTGTCAAGTTTTTTTTTTTTTGTCTATATCCAGTTGGGTAATTTTTTTTCCCTTCCTGTTTCTGAGACATGACAGGATGTGAGAGGAAAATGTCTTCAGAATAAGGGAAATCGTCTTGTCACTGGTAAACGTTTCTCTATTGGAAGTTTTCTCCGCTAGGTAACAACACCAGAGATTGTTGATCCTGGAAACGTGAATGCCTTCTGTGAATTTATTCTTCCCCCATTGGAGAAAATTGGATATTGTATATGGATGTTTTTTTATTTATACAATTCATTTTTCTATTGGTTGAACCAGATGGACCTTTTTAACCTACAGTATGTATGTAATTATGTAACTATTTTTGTGCCAGTGACAACTGTAAGATTTTGGATTCTCCTTCACTTTTAGTTTGACAATGGTCAAGAGGAAAAATAGAGCAGGTGACTGCCCCAGTGGGACAACAGTCAGCAACCACAATGAAAATAAGAACATTTGGCTTTTAAAGACCAAATAAACTCAACAGTGATATTTTAGATTGTTGGAATATTGAATCACTTCTTACATTTCTTGGGGAATCTTGTGGGGAGAATCTTTCAACAGAATTCCCAACCCTCTGACCACAGTAAGGTCATGTAATGGAGTCACTCTCCCACAATATGTTTTTCACAATAAATAATTGGGGAGTTCAACTGTGAGAGTGTGACACACACGTTATGGCCTTGTTAGAGTTTGATGGACAAACTGTTCTAGTGAATCCTTCCAACATTTTGTGGGTAATTCGACCCACATAAAGCATAAATGGTTGCTACAGTCAAAATCAAAATTAAATCTTGGGATGCATATAAGGGTCAGAGCCTACCAACTCAGTATTTCAATTTTTCATCCAGTTATAGCTGTATAGCTCCACTCCACTTTGGTACCTTCTCTTGGTATTTAAAGGTTCTTGGAATGAACCTGCTTGGGGGCCTTCAGACAGTTTGCTGCTTCTCACATACAAGAACGTTTTGTAAAACAAAAGATTGTAATGTATGGAACCAGCGGGGTGGTAATATAGTTACGTGGTTAAGCAGGCCAATAGTTATGCGAATTTCTTTCTTTCCATCACGAGTGCAAGGAAAGAAAATTGCTTGATTTCCCCATCAACACAATCAATGTTGATGGGGGAATCCCTCCCGCAGCTCTATTGTGTTCTGCCAGCAGGGAACATTCTCCTCCACAATGATTACTGCTAGCGACTATAGCTGTTGGCAGTAATTGCATGTAAAAAATCCTACAGGCTCCTTGAACCCAAGTCAGTTGATGAATTGACTTGGAAACAACCAGCCTGCCCATAGATGGATTGAATTTTGGCCGGTTCAGCAGGGAGATCAGCAGAGATTCGATCCTTCTATGGCTAGCTTTAGTCAGGTTGAAAAAAGTCCATCTAGTTCAACAAATAGGAAAAAGACTAATAGAAAACCTCCTTATACACAATGCTATACCCGCAGTTGATACAGATGAAGGTAAAAAACTCAATGGAGCATAATCCAATTCACTCCAACAGGGGAAAAATATTCCTTCATGATCCCCCCAGAACACCTGGGAAGGGCGGGGGTTGATCTGAGAACCTGATTGTGATTCAGGAGAGTAGTTCACAAACATACCAACTGCAGGATCCTCATTGTCTCTTCCATAAAGACTAGGGTAATGAAAAGTATCTTTTTAGGGATGGCCAGAGTTAGCAATCCCATTGTCACCAAAATTTTGCTAAAGATCTAAATTTTGCTCAATAATTTGCTGTGAAATTTGCCTGCATAGCAGAGGATAGAACTCTGAGAGAAATATTGCAACAACCCCCAATACTGGCCTTCAGACAACCCCCCAACCTCAGAAATAAACTAATTAGTAGGAAACTTCCTTCTGATCAAGATGTCACAAATAATGGAAGCAAACCCTGCAATAGAAAACGCTACAAACTGTGCAACCAAATCAATCCATCAAAAAGTGTCAGACACTCAAAAGGGATCTTCAATATTTCTGGATCATACAGCTGCACCTCTAGTAATGTTGTGTAGCTTATCCGTGCAGAAAATGTAGCAAAGGATCTTATGTTGGGAAACAGGACAAGTTGCAAACAAGGATGAATCTGCACAGACATACCATCAAGGAACATAAAGAAGATGACTTTTGCACACCTGTGGGACACCATTTCGCACAACCAGACCACACAATAGGAGACCTCAATGTTTTAGTTCTTAAAGGAAATTTCAAATCCATTCAGGAAAGAAAAACATTTGAACTAAGAATGATAATTCTATTTGACACGAGATAATGGCCTTAATTTGGACATGGGATTGCTCACTCATTATCCAACATTTCATTCATTCATTCATTCGTTCATTTCATTCCTTCTAACATTCTGCTGAAACTTTGTGATTTGTATAGTACTGCTTGGACTTTGAAGAAGGGGACATACACCGAAAGCTTGTCCTCAAAATTGTATGTTAGTGCAAATAAAAAAAGTATCACGGACAGTACTCAATTGTTTCTCCTGCAAATACAAATTCTACTCTTTTTTTTTTTATTTAGGAGGAGGAAGGGTATATTTAGGGTAGTTCAGTTTATTTGAGATTTTGTTTTCTTTCGTATGTTCTTCTCTTTTTTTGTTGTGTACACTATTGCTTTATGTGTATTGTTGCCTAAAGTGGTTATAAAGGCTCAATGGTTCTTTTTGTACCTTCATGCATTCTATGCATGAATGTAAAAAAACCTTCTGTGTGCAGCAGCTCCCCAGCCCTCCTAATACTTACCTGAGCCCCATTGCGATCCAGCGATGTGCTTGAGAGCCTCATCTCTTTGGGGACTCTCCTTCCTAATTGGCTGAGACAGCAGCCGGAGCCATTGGCAATCACAGCCAGTGAGCCAAGGAGGAGAGAGAAGGGGCGGGGCCAAGCCACTGCTCTGTGTGTGAATGGGCACGCGGAACAGTGGGTTTGGAGTGAGCCTGCTCGGGTGCCTCCATAGCAAGCTGCTTGCTCTGGGGACACTCAGCAGGAGGAAGGGGCCAGGAGCTCCGGCAGGGGACCTGAAAATAGGAGGACCGGGGCTGCTCTGTGCAAAACCATTGCACACAGCAGGTAAGAATGACATGTTTGTTATTTTTTTTTAAATGCTTTTCATATCACTTTAGGAATATTGTTGAATGTTTTGTGAACAAAAAATACTTAAAGAATAAGGCTAACGAAAGGCTCTTATTTGGCACAAGAACAGGTCCAGGAGGAATAAAAAAAGATTGCGTAACCCTCTGGAGCCATTTCCCACCTGGAAGAAAAATATATTCGAAATATATTTTTAAAATATTCTTCCCAAATATATTGACATATATTTGAAATACTACAATTTTGTCCATATTCAATGTATTTTATATATATATATATATATATATATATATTGCATGTTGAAATGCGTTTTTTATATATTACAAAATAGATGAAGAATTTATATTTTTATATATAAAAAATATATATTTTTTATATATTCTTCAGATTTTTTTCAACATATAAAAAAGTCACATATTTTTTACATATATTTGTAAATTCATTCCAAAAATGTAGATTAAATGTGTTTTTAAAGACATACAGTATATTTGAAAATGTATTTTTAAAAAATATTTTTCATATATTTTGTATTAAAAAAATGCATTTCAAGATAGAGTATATATTTACTATTGAAATATATTTTGAAATATATTGAATATGGCCAAAATTGTAGTATTTCAAATATATGTCAATATATTTTCGAAGAATATTTTTAAAATATGTTTTTCTTCCATGTGGGTTACATCCCACTGCACTTTCAGAAACCACCAAAATCCACCGTAATTGTGCTTTCTACACCAGCTTCAATGCATTTTGTCAAAATAGAGAAATTCCACTAAAAACACAGTACTATGGGCCATATAAACCTCCCTACTTCACTCATTTCTGACAGCCCCAATCAGATCCTAAATTACCTTGGATGTTTTAATGTGATTGGTGATGCAGAAAGGCAGAAAGTGAGGAAATTACATAGCAGAGATCCCAGGAAGTACATTTCTAATAATGACCCTGTTAAATGGACTGTGAAAATCGCTCCACTTTATGGCAGAGAAAGCAGATTAAATCTGAACTCTGGGCAGACAGCCAAATTCATACAGTAGAAGAAACTCATACATGGGAGCTGTTGTA